AACTGCCAATGTTCGCCAACGCAGACCCACGCTCTTACGCACCCGTGGGTGTGGCTCCACCCCGTTACGCGCCCGGCGGGACCGAGGGTCCGGACGAGTCACGTTGGGTGTCCGAAAGACCCCATTCACTCTGCTGCATCCACTGTTCAGCCATCTGAACCTATGCCGTGGACCCGCCCCCGCCAGGACGGCCGCACACGGCGGCTCCGTTCGTGTGGACCCCGCCAGGATGGCCGCCCACCAGACTTGTCTCCAAAGAATCCGGGAGAGGAGGATGAGGAGTGTGATTTTCTGAAAACCACATGTGAGGGTCCGTAAAAGCCAGACCTCATCATGTTTCATCTTACTTGTCAAAACGTATGATTGCCGATGGCTACAGGTATCTCGGTGCCGTGCTTGGAAGACCAGTGTATCGAGTGTATAACGTATATAGTGGTAGACAACGACTTAGAACGTCATTAAAACAAAACATGGGTGCTCTAAGCACACCAGACTAGAACAACAAATCAGAACGAAGTAGAACATGTGGTTCAAAAACCACACACTTAGAACCCAACCACACACTTAGAACCCAAGACTGAGAACACGTGGATTTCAAACATCATGTTCATACTTGGCAATCAATCAATTTGCAACGCGATGTTCTAAGCATGCTTGCACCGCTGTTGGTTCACTGTTCTTGGCTTTGAGCAGCTTGCACAAAGACTTGTCTTCACAATGCAAGCTGTCCATGTGTGTATACACATGCATACACACACTCTCCATGTCACAATGCCTTCACAATGCGCATATACAATGTTTGCGTTTACTCTATGACATAATTTGTAGTTTAAGTCTCGTTTAGAGCTAAAAGCGATGGCACAGCCAGCTACACTACGCAACATGGGAGACTTCCAGAGTTGGGTGTGCTCCACTATCTGGGGAGTTTGACATGAGACTTTGGTATGTTCTAAGTTCAAGATCCCCATATGGATTTAAACATGTTTTATAAACGGGCTCGGATTTAATTTAGGATTTTTTTGTTTTGTTTTGGGATGTTTTTTTTGTTTTTCGTGTTTCGTGGCAGGGGCAGTACTTTGTGGACCTTGAAATGCTACTTTGTGGACCTTGAAATGCACATTTCGTGGCAGGCGCAGGACTTTGTCGATGTTGAAGTGCGGATTTCGTGGCAGGCGCGGGACTTTGTGGATGTTGAAGTGCAGATTTGGTGGCAGGTGCAGGACTTTGTGGGACTTGGAGTGCAGATTTCGTGGCAGGCGCAGGACTTTGTAGACCTTGAAATGCAGATTTCGTAGCAGGTGCAGTGCTTTGCGGGCCTTGAAGTGCCGATTTCGATTTCGTGGCAGGTGCAGGACTTTGTGGATGTTGAAGTGCAGATAGATAGGTAGGAAAGAAAGAAAGAAAGATAGATCGAGAGATAGATAAATAGATATAGACAGACAAATGGATAGGTAGACAGATTTGCATTGGAATAGTGTAGGTGTCAGACTATCACAACAGTTTGGTGCAGTTAGCAGAAAAGCTAGGAGAAAGGTTTCGTGGCAGGCGCGGGTGGCGGAGATGAAGTGCAGATTTCGTGG